ACGTTCCGCTTGTTTCATTGGGTGCCTGGGGCTGAGGGCTGATCCCGAAAAGCGGACCGAAAATCAACGCACCAGCGAACAACACAATTAATCGAAATTCAAAGGCCTTGCGTGACAGGTCTCTAGAAGCTCCCACACGGGTGCTTCGTTCACGCTCCCGCTTTGAATTTACGCTTCACTGCATTGTGGGTCACACTCATGAGTCAAAGGCTCCGGTTAGGGTTCCCAAAGAAAAACCCCTTCGTCGGTGTGGGCTACCGCGAAGTATGCCGTGCCCTAAAGTCTTAGGTACCCGTTTGGAAAACCATCTTTCCCATCTATCTAGTCTTTCTTCTCAATCCCGAATATTCCCAGGTGTCTCTTGCTTACGAGACCCATTGCATATCACTCAGCGCTCAACTATTAAGGTCAACCACTCAGCTACTACACAATCACTCTTCTTTGGAAATTACATGGTAACAAAACGTATGATGATACGTTACATATACAAAAAGTCCCATACGCATCAAGGTACGCACATTAAATGTGGCTAGTTTGAATGGGTAACGAGGACGAAGAGAGCTTCAAGTGGTGGAGAAAAATTCGGTGAGACTTGAAAGCCATTTGAGGCAGAGCGCGAGGAAATAGGGACAGAATTTCTAACTGGTAGTACGATTGTCTTGATGACAATGAGAATGTTTGGGGGTGAATTTGAGGTAGAGAAAAAACTGGAGAATAGGAAGATGTGCACGGTGTAGTGCTTTTTATGCAAGAGGAAGATTGATGGAGCGAATTATTGACCACGTTGAGGTTCATTTTTTGCATTGCATTGCAGAAAAAGGAAGCAGCCAATCAAACGGGTGCTTTGCAACACATAGGCGGTGGTATGATTCAGAAAAACGCTCGACGGGACGCATATTTGGTGACTTCGACCTCTATCGGCCTGATTGCAACTCTATATATTTTGCAATACAAGTTGACCGAACATCAATTCAAGATATCCGGGTATTATGCCGAGTTGCTTCAGCATCATCCTGAGGTACCTCAGTATCATCACGGATTTTTGAGCACCATTTCAAGCTACCTGATTGACCTCATTGGCGCTGTCAGGCCTAGTACCCGTTCAAGCCTCTCGGCGATGTCTGGTTGCCGACCGCGCAACACAGATTTTTCAACTTCCCGAATGAAGCGCAGGAGAGACGATTGTGAAACATGCCTCGGTTACACACCAGAATTCCCCTGACATGTCTTGGTTGTTTACTTTGTTCATACGCGTACGCGCCCATGCGTGTTTGTGTGTTCGTCCCCTTTGTTCCTCCCAAATAAATAAATGAGCAACGCGTAGTCCAGATTAGATCCCAAAACAAAACAGAGGATCCAGCGAAGTTCTACGGTACTCAAAATGGATCTCAGACCAACCTGAAAACAAGAGCCCGGTGATACTATGAGCGTAACTCGAAGAATCACAACGCTGCACTCGAACGAGTCAGATGTGAGCGGTCAGGTTGCGATTAAAAAAAAAATAAGGTCCGGGTGAAGCACAAACAAACAAAGTCAAGTAATGGGAATGTGTAAATATACACAGCAGGTGGAACGTCAAATGTTTATGTATGTGTGTATGTATGAGGCGGATGGCGTTCAGCGAATGAAACGTGGAATTCACAAAATTTGCATCAAAGGTGGTTTGTCTGGATTTTTCCCGGAAGGAGAATGGCGGATGAAGTGTGTAGAGCAATGTGCTCGAACTGCCAAGATTTCAGCAAACCCGGATACGTGTGCAAATATGAATTAACATGTATCAATTTGTAAACTCGAAAGTGCTAAATGAGGAATACATTTAACCAAAACATGGTCACTTTTTAATTGAAAACATTCCCTTGTTTTTCGATATACCATTGTAGTGATCCTGGCCTACTAAACGATGCATTCCCTGGAGCGACACATTACAGATTTCGGACAACTGTGATCAATCAAACTTCACGGGTGACGTCAGTAAAGCGCGTGCGTGCCACAACTTCTGGACTACATACCACAGGTCGATTGGAACAGCCAATTAGAAACCGTACGGCCCAGATAAGTTGAACAACGGCAGAAATACCAGAACGCGATTGGCAGAAGTCTGGATGACCAATGAGCTTGTTTTGTGCCTATTATTTAATCCCCTTTATTTCCTTCAACAAACGAACGACTACTCCTGTGACCTTTTCCCCGCATCTCGGTTACGTGGGATATTGCGTGCAAGTGCCAGTGTTATCCAGTGCTAACCAGTGATTCGTATTCCGCGTTCATTGCGTACTATTACTACTACTATTACCACAATTACTACAGCTATTCGAAACTATCGACGGATAATTTGGGTCAATTGTATGGAAAGCGAAGGCACGACGAGTTAGACAGTTGCGCATGAGTGAACGAGATACTGCTGTATTCTCAGTGGTCATGTCAAGTGACCGTCTGTTTTCAGGAGCCTGTAAACAAGGTAGAGAGTCATTCGTAGGGCACGTGCCGAAAACAGGGGGTGATATGCATGGCGACGAGAAACATTCTATTCTGGGAGGATTGAATAATCTAATGAGTATTTCTGGTAAGCTATGGATATCGAAATGTCGTGCCTTAAATTGCTTTGATGAACAGAAGACTGTCATGAAGGCCAGACAAGAAAATTTCAGCAATGCAGTTTGTTCTGCACGGGATGAAACATAACCTGAGGAAGCCCTACGCACTGCCCTCTTGTGGCGGAAGTGTTTTCCCACCAAAGCGAGAGGACGAAAAGCCGAAATCCGGGGTTATAACCGGTTTGGTGGACCACTAGTAGTTCATCTAGGGGAGTTGGCCACAATCCTGATTCCAAATCAACCATGAGGAGGTGTACGAACCACACACACACCTATCCGGTTGTGGCAGTGGTCGCCGGCTCGACTGGGCATCGGGGTGTATTGGACACCTTGGACGTTTGACCCCATCCAAAGGGCGTATCATCCGATGAATTGGACACGGCCCCCAACGGATTGCGGTTTTCACACACCGTCCCGCTGCCTTGTGGATCAGGCTTTGGCTAGCCGAATGCTCTGGTTGTGGATTACTCAAGAAAACTCACCTGTCTTTGCCTGGGCAATCTGGTAGTATTCAGCCCAAATGCAAATCATGAAACGTTTTTCTTTCTTTTCATAAAGATTATTGTACCATGATTTGTTTGGCACACAGTGTGGCGTCAGACGTGTGTGGAAATAAATAAAATGTACATGAAAAGAACATTCAACGTGACTTGCTAACAACAATATGCCCCTTATCAACCAGTTTTACTCTGAATACTAGAGAATTCGATAGAGCAGAGTTGAAAGGTAAGAATTCGACGGCCATGCGTGCGCGCGCATGTGTGCTAGAAATACACTCATAAGAGTACAGTCGGTAAGGAGATTTGGATGCCATCAATTAACAAACTAACGGAACACCCGTAAAGTGGACTCAGACGAACCACCTGGTACGGCATCCTTCAAGAGTTTGGTAGCATATTTTGGTGAGCTAAATTATTTCTGTTCGAGATCGAGAGAGAGATGCTGAAACAGTCTTCGCGGGTCTGTGGGCCTGAGAAACATCACTAACACATCCTATTCTGTTTAAAATTATACATCATTGTTTGATGAATAGCAGAACACATGGGGGGAAGAGGTCAATTCCCTAATCCAATTTGCTCATCGCTTACTCGTGATAGCAGACAACCTGCGAGCTGAACTGACGAGCCACGTAGAGGGTTTCGATGGGATAGGTGTCATGGTGTCCAGGGTCGGAGAACAGCAGTTACCGAGCACCAAAAATGGGTAACTGTGGATGTGTTGGGAACATAGTAAGTGATGACTATTTGCAAGATAGGAAAAACATCATAAAGTCACCGGAGAAAACTTGCAGGTGAATTTTTCTCTCTCCTGAATTCAACATTTTCCGTTAGTGCGTAAGTTACAGTCACTGACAGTATAAACACTTTTCAGCTCTTTTTTATGACCCATTTGTGTGATAAACAGCAGACCTTCTTCTAGTCACGACAATCTGCTGTTCAGTGATGGGAACCGGGAACATAAGCCCCGGGACTTGGAATGGCGAAACACATAGGACCCCACTCTACGTACTTAATAAATGATCGTTCCCTTATCTTATGATACCTTGGTGGCCAAGTGGTTAGATCACCAAATTATGACCCGGAAGTCCCGGATTCGAGCCGCTCCACCGCCGTCCGTCTTCCCTATTTCTGTATTTTCNTTTCTTCCTGAAAGGTGACTGTACGTTTGTATATTCAATGAATAAAAAAGGAAGTAAAAAGACATTATTATTATTACTGATGAACTAGTTTAACACACTCAAAACCGACCCTGTAGTGCTGTAGATTTTCAAGAGGGAACGAAATGAATGACATTGGAATCCATTCCCGAAAAGATGTTACCAAACTGATTCAAGTCTTACATACCATTGAGCTATGTAAATGACAAAATGTATGAAGATTCGATCAAAGTTGATTCGACGCCGGGGGAAGGGCAAAGATACAAGTAAAATTTGGATAAAAGTCACACGGAGACAGACTAAGGAAGAACGCATTCACTTACCCACTTCCTGATTCTCCATACGATATAACAACTCTTCCAGATCCCTGGGTAAACTTTTTGCCGAACGATATATATCCGGATAAGGGTCTGATCCGTAGGCAGCAGCCCAATCAAACTGACCGGCAGAATTCGCTACAGAAAGAAAAGAATGGCGGGGAAAATCATAGTAGGAACGAGGATGGTGACGAGTGACACCCTTGATGGAAGCCGTACTGATGATAAAAATATTTCCGTGGTGCAAACACTCACTTCGAAAGTGTGCATATTGTTTTGTCATCGGTACAATTCCTACATCATATACACAGCAGATCAACTATCACACAAACGAGAGGGGAGGGGAAAATCCGAGTTTTGCGCCTAGAGAGTGTATGGTTGGGAAATTTTCTTGTCTCGGTACTGTTGAATTCGAGCAGATTTGATTTCCCCATATCAAATATTGCATCAACCTAACCGTCTGTGCCCTTCTCTGATAACCTCCTCTTTCCCTACATTTCATCTCTTAAAACTAAAGCCCACAGTGTTCCGTTTCGACAAGCATGACCTTGCATCTCTATACGCCGGTTTTGGTTGGTGTCACCAGGTTGCCCGTTTGGATGCAAGAGCAGAATAAAGACTAGGAATGATGGGAACAGATTCAAAGGTAAGATAGGGAATTCATATGGACTGAAGTTGCAAACATGATGAATAGGTGCACGAGCTTCACTGTTTACGATACTTAGTGTTTGTAACCATTGATTACAATAACCCTGAGGTCCCCATCCAGGGAGACTAACGGGACCTATGTGACGCATTTTTCTGGTTAGGGTTTTCATACCCTCATGCCAGGTCTTAGTTTGACCCCCCTTGACCTTTTTCCATCCGCTACCTGCCTCGACAAACATCGCGCACCTTGGCAACCTAGTTGGTGACAGGCGCAACGCATGTCCTAGCCACCGTAGCCTATGAAGGTCAACCATTTGTTCCAGTGGATGGCCGCAGTTACCAAAACTTCTGTGCCTAACCTCCGCGTTGCTCGTTTGATTTCTCCACTGGATTCGTGCAACACAGCGTAGACAGCGATGTTCAAACACCGACAGTCTACCGTTATCCTATTCTAGTAACGACCAAATCTCTGTACCGTAGAGAAGAACTGGTCTAACTGCAGCAGCATATGCCCGACCCTTCGCAGACAGCCGGATGTCGCAACGGCGGCAGAAATGTCTCAAGCTGGCAAATGCCATCCGAGCCTCTTGTATACGAGCTGACACTTCATACGTGATGTGTCCGCCAGGTGAGATAGAGCTGCCTAGATAGCAAAATTTGTCTACTTCCTCTACTACCCCCGCAGATAGTAAGGTTGGGAGTTGGTCAACTCAATTTTGTAACAACATTTTACACATTGAATGTGCAAAACGAATACCAAGCATGGCTACACTACCACTCAAATTATTTAGAAAAGCTAATGCCCCAGAATACTTGGTTAAATTGTCGACGATACTATTGTGTCATAGGCACGAAAAATCCGAAGCTCTGTTTCTACATGTGTTGCTTGTTTTTCCACAGTTTGATGTTTGGATTAAAGCTAGACGAAGCACCGGAACACCTCGTTTTCTCAAAACCATAATGGTCGAACACATTCCAAATTGGGTAGTGGGGGCGGTAATCCAACTGACAACCGATGGTCAGGTGATCACAAGAAAAAAAGTAGGTCGGGTCATCTGTTGCGAAACATGACACGACAACCAGACACAGAATTTACCCCATTTCGTAATCGCAACGCTAAACTTTTGGCAATTATTGAAGCGTTGTGTGTTTCATTACACGATCCAATTCCCTGATTGACTCGGTCAATCCAATTGCTGTGGAATTGAGGCTTCACTTCAATCTTCCATCAATCTCCATCTGATGGTACATGTTGACTCACTAGGATTGATCAACCCAATGTGCTACATCTATACCAGCTTGTTTACGTCAGCGATCGAGGGTGTCTACACGAAGTGTGAATATCTCGCCAAACCAATGCCACCAAAGGGGACTCAGTGTTTTGAAAGTAGTATCGCTCAGTTCATTCGGATGGATACGTGGGAAGGGGGGGGAAGGTTGATACGGATTTAGGAGGTCCGTCATACAGGCAGTGATATTCGTTGTTCGAGATTCGATTATCAATTCTTTCAGATGGGTCGATATGCTTGCACAACTATAAAATCAAACAGTATATTTCTGGTTATACTTTTGGAAAAAGAGTTCGATAAATGTAGAAAGGAATATGAAATCCTTTTATCTCCAGCCAGGAAAAAATGCAGGGGAACACTTGTGGGATAGTGATGAAAGTCAGCATCGAGTGGGATTTGTATTTTATTATATAATGCAAATCTCATTTGCAAATCGGGGAGTGGATTTGAGACAAACAAGTTTTGGAAAATCATTGCGATGATTTTGCACCAGATGTTGTG